ACGTCCTGCTTATGAGATACTCGGCACCCGAAGTCCTTTTGAGCCTGATTGGGAGGTTGTTTGCGGTATCCAAAATATTTCCGCTCTACCTGATGGTCTGGAAGACACACAGAGAATGGAAGAAGATTCGGCCGAATTATGGTTGCTTTATGGACAAAACACGAAGGACATTGTAGCCGAGTTGATATCGTCGCAGGATCCCGCAGAGACCCTCGTGGAATCCCTGAATGCTGCTCGAGAATCAAGGGGTATGCCAAAGCTAGAACAAATTTCCAGTGCTATATATCGTGGAGCGTTGGTCCTTGTTAGACTATCGATGTGTGGTCGAGGCGTCCCCACAGACATGTCCATCATTTACGATATATCTAAGAAGGAAAAGGCTGCGTGGTCAAGGAAATCGACGGGAAACAACGATGAGGTAGTTGATCCACACCACTGCCATGAGTCTTACTGAGCACTACCTAGGCGTTCCAATCTCAGACCCAAGAGAACCAAATCATTGGATACGTGACTTCTGGTCGAATGTCACTAGCTCGTGGAAAAGGTCTGGGCATTGGCGCGATTGCCCTTGCAAAACTTGTGGACTCTATAAAACGACACGGGTGAGTAGTGTTTACTCGACAAGCTTAGTCCTCAACTTTTCCAGGAATACACAGAATCTTTCTCCTCACTTGGTTAAAGTTAGGGAATCACATGGAGAAGTCTACAGGCCAGCTTTGGTTGAAGTCATTTAATGCTTGATTCATTCCTGGGAGTGCCAGTTTTAATGAGCTATATTCCAAATCTGTAGACTCTTGGTCAAGTCATTATGATACATTTTTATATGACCGTGTAACATCCATATAGCACTTCTATATCAAGATTATTTTATCGCCTTAATGGTCCTTTGAGTACACTAGCCCTCTGCGTGGCATAGGGATTAGCCGACTCGACTTCCGAATTGGAATGTGAATGATGATGACGATGATGAGGTCCGGGACTGCCACTCCTTGATGCTGGCCTAGACAATTCTGCTGCGAATCTGATATTGCGATTAGGAGAAGAGTCACGAGTCCGCACGTTTGGTGTGTCCCCTGCCTCCCTTTCTCGAAGTCTGGCTACCCGGTGGTTGGAGCTCACGGACACGATAGAGTCCGTTCGACTGAACGCCACTCCTCTTGGGGAAACGGGGCCAGCTGGATCAGATGCAATAGAATCTGTTCGACTCAGCCCTATTCCCGAGGGTACTCTTGATGGAGAGGCAGGGGTGGCTGGAGTGGCTGGCGTCGGAGGTGTTCCTCGGTCTACCTCGATTTCGGGTGGTGTCTCTTTGGCGACTCGTCTATGC